ATGTATTTACTCCTGATATTGAGAATAAAAGTGCTGAAATGGCATAATACTCCATTAACTGGTTTTTAATATTTTGTTTTTAAGCTTCTCTTTATTTACTCTAAATTATTTTATATTGCATTCTTAAATGTATCTGCTGTATTGTCCCAGCCCAGCTCTGGAACCACATGTGCACCACCAGCACCACCCATTGAAACAAACAAACACATCATGTTTGCTGAAAACACGTAGAGCAATAAACCTACTTACAGGTTTTATCAAGTTTAAAAAAAATTGTTCTTAACATTTCAATTAATGAGATAATATGAACCCTTTTTTATCATCTTAATTTATTTTGCTATGTTAGATGACGAGGTAGTTCTCTTTCAGTTTTTTTAAAGGACATTTTAGACATAGGAACTGTTCATGGCTTGAATCACTGCCACTATAGGAATTGGTCATTACTTGAATCACTACCACTATAGAAACTGGTCATTGAATCACTGCCACTGCATCTTTGTTGTTAAGTTAGAGAATAAACTAGCCAGTTATCTCCATTCCATGTTCAGATATTTTTCCCTCCAGGCCACTAATCCTGTTGGCTTTTAGATTTGAAATAGAGGATGTTTGGATGCCAGAATGTTTGACTACAGTCAAGAACATTGTGCTGAATATCATAGATAAGGTTGTTCTCATGCCATCAATTTTATTTTTTCACCACTGGATCTTTGGGATGATTATTTTTCGCTCAGACAGTATGTGATGCTAGTTCACTCAATGACAATGATGCCTTCTGTTACTTCTGGAATATTCCAACTGATTCAGTCACACTATCTTTCACTAGGTGTACTTCTCAAACTACCTTCAGAGTCAGGACTGCTACAGATTGTTGTTTGTCCATGGACTAGGACCATCGAATCATCCGATTAGGGGGAGGTTGGGATTACGGTGAACTCGTAGGTGGCTTGCTAGACCGATCCTTGCTCGGAATAATCTATGACACCATGGGCACCGTTGCTCTTTCGGACAAGCCTGGGTGTCTCAGCTGTGGTTATTCTATTGTCTTCATGGAATTTTGCCCCCTTCTTGACAGCAGCTCTCCACCTGGCTCTGTCCTGGGCTGTCTGCACCCATTGAGTAGGGTTTATGCTGAAGGCCTTTAGTCCCACTTTCAGTGAGTCTTTGTAACGCTTCTTTTGACCTCCTTGGGAGCGCTTGCCTATCGTGAGTTCTCCGAAGAATAATTGTTTCGGGAGCCAGTGGTCTTCCATATGGGCTACGTGTCCCATCCAACGGAGCTCAGACTGCATCAGAATGGTGAATATACTGGGTAGGTTCGCTCTAGCGAGTACCTCAGTGTCGGGGACTTTGTCTTACCACCTGATGTCGTGGGGTTTCCTGAGGCAGGTAGTGTGAAAATGATTCAGTTTTTTGGACGCTGGTAGACTGTCCACATTTCACATCCATAGAGCGGTGTCGGGAGGGCTGCTGCGCTATAGAACTTGAGCTTTGTTTCTCGTCTGATACCTCTCCTGTCCCAAATAGTGCTGCGGAGCCTGCCAAATATGGCACTAGCTTTTGCGAGTCTGCAATTCATTTCATCATCCATGATGACAGATCTAGAGAGGGGGCTGCCCAAGTAAGTAAATTTGAGACGCTCTCCACTGATGATGATGTTGGGTTCAATGTAGGGCTTACTGGGAGCTGGCTGATACATCACCTCAGTCTTCTTTGTGTTGATTGTGAGGCCAAAGTTATTGCAGGCCTCAGAGAAGATATCAACGCCGTGTTGCATGATGGCTTCTGAGGGAGCATTGAGGGCACAATCATCTGCAAACAGAAGCTCATTGATCGTGGTATGTTTGATCTTGGTTTTAGCTTGAAGTCTTTTAAGGTTAAATACTGATCCATCAGTAAGAAACCGGATTGGCCAGCCTGTGGTGGAGTCCTTAAACGCATCAGACAGCATTGCGGAATACATAATACTAAAGAATGTGGGAGCAAGAACACAACCTTGCTTTACACCGTTTGTGACGGGGTATCCTTGAGATGATTGACTGTTGTCCTGGACTCGGCCCATCATACCATCATGCAGCTGGCGGATGATGGTGAACTTGTCTGAGCATCCGTTTTTCTTCATGATTTTCCACAGGCCACCTCTATTGATCCTGTCAAAAGCTTTATTCAAGTCGATAAATGTAGAATATAGGTCTGTATTTTGTTCCTGGCATTTCTCTTGAAGTTGTCTAGCAGCAAACACCATATCAATGGTTCCGCGTTTTTTGCGGAAACCACATTTACTTTCGGGTAGGAGACCTAGCTCCAGATGTGCATTTAGGCGGTTCAGAAGGGCTCGGGCCAAGATCTTGCCTGCAATGGACAGTAGTGAAATTCCGCGGTGATTGTCGCAGGCCTGGCGGTTTCCTTTGTGTTGGTACAGGTGGATAATTGAGGCATCCTTGAGGTCTTGTGGTACCGTTTCCGTCTACCAGATGATTTGGAATAAACGCAACAGCTTATCTGTCAGCAGTGGTCCAACCTCTTTGTAGATTTCGGCAGGAATAATGTCGGTCCAGGTACTTTGCCATTGGACATTTGGTGGATCGCTGTCTGTATCTCATCAAAAGTTGGGATGGCGTCCAGTGAATTGTTCCTTGGGACCTGGGGGAGTATTTCAATGGCCTCATCATTAATGATGGAAGGCGTATTGAGCACACTTTCAAAGTGTTCCGCCCATCTTTCCAAGATTTTCTCGTTGTCTGTAATGAGCGTAGAACCGTCAGCACAAAGGAGAGGGCAAGAGCCTGATGTGGCAACACCATATAATTCTCTCAGGCCACGGTAGAAGTTTTTCGTGTCTTTCTTGTCTGTAAAGCCCTGTATTTCATCATCTTTTGAATTTAACCAGGAATCTTGCATCTGGCGCAGTTGTATCTGGACCTTGCTGCGGATGCCCCTAAGTGCAGCTGTCTTTGCTGTTGACATTGGGTCATCATGGAGGGCCTTGTACGCTCGGCATTTTTGCTCAAGTAGCATTTGGATCGCTGTGTTGTTTTCGTCAAACCAGTCCCTGATACAGATACCTATCTGATCTCATCTGCACAGTCCAGATGTCTGAAAATATGCCCAGCAAGTCTTTCCAAAAGGGCCATAAACGTTCAGGTAAATTTATCTTTGTTTTCAGTATTGTATTCCTTTTAATTTGTGGAACTCTGGATAGAAAAAGACAGACTGCACATTCCTCAACATTTCTACCTGGTCTTGTACTTATTAGTACCTATTGTGTATTAAATCTTATTTTTTTTTTAATATATAAATTATGTTCCTTGTGTTTAAATTCTTCTGGCTTGAGAATGAAATTAAGGCAGTTATTTCATTTTATCTTAAGTTTACTTTGTGTAGTTCAAAATAAGTGCAAAAGAAATAAGATTAATTTACAAAAAACAATCATTCGATGTTGTAACTATAATTAGTTTCATGCAAGGTACGCAAAAATACTAAAAAATAATGTTCCTGACTATCCTGATAGACAGTGACGCATCATCCGAACACAGTGTTGGAAGCCACAGCACAGGTGCAGAGAGCGTTGTGACTAGGAACAACCTCCTGGGGGTTGACACGCATAAGCTTTGCAAAGGGTCAACAATTGAAGGAGATTTCAGCATGAATATGGACATGTTGAACCCAGATGACTTGTGGAAGAGACCAGTTGCCAAGTCAGTGACAGTTTATTTAAAATTATCTCACACTGTGAAAGTCCATTTTAATAACATTTTCTAAAACATTTACAAGAGAAATAGAGTGACCTCATTGCAATGCCTCCCTTGAGGGAGATCGTGTGACACAATTTTAGTTTTTTAAAGTTTCAGTCATTAATAGAATATGTTCCGAATTTCAGCTTTAATTAAAACTGACCATTTTGTTATTTCAAATCTCTTTGAAGTCTAAACAATTTGATGTTTTTGTGGATACTGAAATGACCTTTGAGAAATTTTTCATTTACCCCTCTACCAATTGCTGCTAAGTATCATTATCTTGACCATTTGTCATTTTCTGCTCATCAACTGTGTCCATGTCCTCTGGTTTAAAACTTGAAAGCATGTTTTCAATGTCACATGTTTTTTACTATCCTCCCACTCAACAAAGACTTGATTCTTCCAGCAACTTGACCCTGGGCTGTGTCAACGAGGTGGGACAGTTTGTCTCTCACTTTGAGCACGACGCCAAAGCAGAAAAAAAGAAAGGTAAATCCAACGGTCAAGTCTTATTGTTGATACAGCTTTTTTAATAATTTTTGGTCTAAATTTTGCGATGGCTTAATTTTTTTTAAAATTGTGTTTTGGTTTCTGTTCCACAATTTCATGGTGGGAAATGTTTTTGGGGACAGGAAGCTGTTAAAAATTTAGAGAATCTTTTTATTTGTAAACGCCTTCAGTGTTTTTGGTTTCATTAAAATTCAGAGATTATTTTTCATGTAACTTTTCAGGACCCCTTCTGGAGAAAAGGAAAAGGTGGCTATATTTTTGTGTGTGTTATTATATGTTGATGGTAGTGGAGGTTTAACATTGGTTATACAGCTAACTTTATATATATGTTGTGTTAAAGTTGTAAGGCTTATTGGTATGGGACCATATATGTTTGCTTGTATCAGATGAAGTCTAGCAAAATGGGGTGCTTTGACACACCATATGCCGTGCCAGGAGGACATAACGCTTATAAAATTACCTATCACTATCTGTATGTACAACAGTAGCCACACAAGAGGAGCTCTTTCAACTAGAGTTTTACAATTCACACTCAACAATTGTTTATCATAAAGATGATAAATGAGAACAATTTCATTTTTGATTCATTGAGGTTATCAGGAAAAAAAACACAACTTTTTGACAATTTTCATGAAGTTACAGAGAACCAGACAGAAGACAAATACAAAAATACAATGTAAATAGGTAGTCCAAACCAAAATTTATCTTTAAATGTAGACTGTTTTAAGGACTCTCACTTGATAGAACTTTTTAATACAAGAATTTTGATACCTGGTTTATTACAATAGCTTAATAAATAAAAAAGTTATGAAGTTTTAAAATTTGATAAAAATCGATAGGAAATTGGCTATTTTTCATTTTGTCAAATCGTCCATTTTTTTGAAACCATAACTACTAAACTAATAATCCCAGAAGCTCCAAACTTGGTGTACTTGCTCAAAAGTTTACATATTTAAAGCCCAATTTTTTAAAGCAGCTAGAACCATTAATTGAAAAGTTATTGAAAAATAAAAAATAACAAAATTGCTTTTTAGTCCTTTTTATTTTCTGACTTCAAAAGTGTGAAAATGCACAATTTCAACAATTCGTAAAAATAAAATTCACTGACTTACATAAATATGTCATACATCAAATAAAAGATAATTTTAAGCAGCACAATATGCACTAGGTCTTAACAGCATCAAACAAATTTAAAGTCATCAAAATAAGTTTGAAAGTACCCACTGAACTATATTTTTTTACAAAATTAAGGTTTTAATTTTTTTTAGAAAATACATGTTTATCACATAATTGTTATAAAATCCAAGGAATATGATGTCAGATGTGTTTACTAATAACTAAAAGACTAATAAAAAAAAAATTAATGCCGAGTATGGTGAAAAATAGATGGCAACTAGGCAATCTTAGGCATGAATTTAAAATAAATTATCTGGGAAATCTCTGTAGTAATAGTAGTATCATTGTCTTTGCTTTCGGACTGTACTCCAAGGGCTAGCTTCCCTCTCCTCAATTGTTGATAGTCACCAGTTACTAGATTTAATAATCAAATGAAAAAAGAAACTAGTAACTATTGTGTAGCATCAATATTGCAAAAATTATTTGTAAAAGTTAATTAGGACAATTTGAGATTCATAGGCATTGGGCGAGTCCATGTCATTAGCCCTTATAAATAAACGTAAGGTTGTACCGGTAGTACTAGTGAGTCTAAGATAAAATAATATTGAAACAATTCTAACTCAGAAGTAAGTTTCATTTAATTTTAAAAAATTATCAACAACCTCATTGTCAAGATAAGGTTACAAATTTGTATTCAATTATATTGTGTCATATAATGGTTTATTCACTTGAAGCCTCCTACCCCAGATAATAACTTGCATCAGTCCACCCACATCAGTCTCGCCGGAATCCATTTTTATTTTCTTGATCGGACAGAAACCCCCATTAAAATCAACAATAAGACCTTTTTTAAATCTTATATTTATTAAATACAATAACAGATCAAACATTATCATGTCTACAATATGTTTATCAATTTGTTTTATCGCTCGACTGTCCTCAATTAAATACATTTTGTCCGATCGACAACATTTATTCAAGCTCAGTTCACAATCAGCACAATGGTTCTGATTCGTTGAAATATATCGAATATCTGACACAATCTATGCTTAACTCATTTCTAACCAATATTTTCAGTTACTAATACATTAATGAAAGTTTAATTCTTCAACTTACTTGTTGATTAAAGTCTCAAACATCGCCAATAAGCTCCCGCCCTGATGCTGGTACTAAACGCCCATCAAGCGGCTAGTGGTGTGGAACTAAAAAGGGGGTGTTTTTGTAAACAATGCCGCTCCGCGCTTATTGTGCCCACTCATTTGATCTTATGATATTAAAATAGTAAAAAAACCTGAGCTTTCCAACGGTGTAAAGAAAGTACTAATATCTCTGTGTTTTCCCCCATTTTTTTATACAAAATTTTTCAACCGGCTTTTTCAAAATGAAATAAGCAAGGTAAATATACTTTCTATATATCAAACGAAAGCCCAAGATCCCTACTTTCAATTGGTGGTAAAATTAGGCTTCTCGGTTGATTACGTGCGGAGCGCCGCACGATTGAATAACACGAACCAAAAAAAAAAAAAAAAAAAAAAAATTTACGGACAAGTTTTGAAAGCCGCTGTCAAAAGGACCCAACCCCACACTTTTCATAAATATAAAACATTCTCATAACGCATTTTCAATTGGTGGTAAAATTGGGCTTCTCGGTTGATTACGTGGGGAGCGCCGCAAGATTAAAAAACACGAACCAAAAAAAAAAAAAAAAAAAAAAAATTTACGGACAAGTTTTGAAAGCCGCTGTCAAAAGGACCCAACCCCACACTTTTCATAAATATAAAACATTCTCATAACGCATTTAAATAACATAAAAATTGCATAATTTGTTAGATAGAGATAAACTTTAATCCAATATTAATTTTGTTTGTGTAGAATTAGTACAAGTGAGTCTAAAATGCATCTCAAAAACAATAAAAATAGGGGAAAAGGCCGATTTTGCAGGTTCGGACTATAAAATTTAAAATTTCATGAGAAACTGCAGTTGCAAGATTTCCACACCAGGAATAATAATAATGTACACATTTAAAATGTCCCTTCAACTTCAAGCTTATTAAACAATTCAGACATCATGTAAACTTGTAACATTTTTACTTATCATTTCTAGACACGTTACGTAATACTCTTCCTTCGCTTGCTGTAGTATTAAACTGAATTTTATCAGCCAATCTTGCTAATCTTAACTTCACAAGTTCCTTGTCTGAAAATTAATTGTTATGTTTTCTGTATGTTCTGGAGTATTAATTAATAAAAAGTGGATTAAAAGACTTTGATTGGTGTGGAGACAACTCTCATAAGAGTGACTCACCTGGTAGTGACTAGGGATTTTTTGTTACATTAAATTTACAGTGGAGGCAACTCTCATAAGAGTGACTCACCTGGTAGTGACTAGGGATTTTTTGTTACATTAAATTTACAGTGGAGGCAACTCTCATAAGAGTGACTCACCTGGTAGTGACTAGGGATTTTTTTGTTACATTAAATTTACACACTAAGGGACATAATTATCAACCTATTCATTTGTCCTTAACTATTAAAGAATTCATAACACAATTTCATAAATTAAATGAACTTATTTATTTACAAGGATTCATATATAATCTGTCATAGATAAGGATGTGAAAAAACTTACATATAATTTATGTCTAGGTTCTACAAATGATGGACATAGGCCTCCTCTAATGCCTTAACATTCATCATAATAGTCAATAGCTTTGTAACAGTAGTCTCTGACATAAGTTATCAATCTAAAATGGATTTGATGATCAGGCTTGATCAATCTAATTGCTTAGTCACTTCAATGTTGGAAGTGGCTTCTCCAGTCCTTTCCTTTGTGGCTCCTCATGTCGGTAATGAAAGAGGACCTCACAGCGATACATTGCGGAATAGCCATTCCCATACATTGGACTTGTTTATGGACTTTCTAGCAATGTGTCTATCGTGGGTGTAAAGTCCTATCAGCTAACGTTCCTATGGATATAGGAAAATGGCTTGTTCTCCCAGATGGATACTGGGGGGAGTTCTTAGAATTCCAGCCTAAAAAGAAATGATCCTCAATCCAGCAGCTAAGATGTGGTGATTTCTTGCACTGCGGCAATGAAGGAATATAGTAACCAAGCCAAATGAGAATAATAAAAAAAAAAAGAAGGGACAAAGTTTCCAATATACTTGAGCTAGCAGGTCCCTTTAAAATGAAAAGAAATTCAGATTGAGGCTTTGAAAGGGATAGGAACTTTAAATACAAATATCAGTATGTGGATAACCTTATTCAGTTTCACCATAGTTGACGCAAGCATGCGTGGCTAGGTCAACATTTGGTAAAGGATTTTTCAAATATAATTATGCACTGAATTATAAATAAGAATCATGTATTAATATACTACATCCAAATCAGCTGTGTTGGATAACTAACATCCTTACGATGGGATGAAGTCTAGATAAGAGTATTTCAAAATGACTAACATGTGTCCCAGTTTGGAGACACATGTTGAACATTGAGAAAAATGCAATTGTATTATCATACATTAAAAATGATTAACAAAAATATATACATGGTGATACAAATGTAGCCAATATAAGGAATGACATAGACATGTTTATCCAACTCTCTAGGTTTAGAAATGGCCTGCTTCAGGAATCACAAGGATGTTATGTTTTGAGAAAAATTTCGAATAAAGTTTGAACATTATTCATGCAAGAATATATATTAAGATTTCTAAATAGTTATTTATTGACTAAGCTACTTTTTCCATTGGGCCTATGTGCCATATTTTATGCTATTGAATGGCATGTTACCAGAGGGGAGATAACTTAAAAAAGTAAAAGCAAAAACTGACATCACTGGTTTTCCACTTTTTTTTAAAAAAAA